ATCAAACTTCTCTGTTTCAATTAGGAAAAAAAAAGTGTTTAGTTACCACCATAGATTTAATGACAGAAAGAAAAATGTACAAAGAAATAATTAGATGGACAATTCATAAATTCACAGTTATGCCAGTTCTTAGGGCATACTACAGAAACAAATACAGACACACACGGAAAGCTATAATTACAGCAAGAAGGTGCATTTTCAGCACCCCACTCAACAACAGCTAAAGGGGCAAACTGCCCCCCCAAAGCAATCAGTCATTTTTCAATACCTTTGCATAGAATGAGGTTAACTTTTTTGGGGTTTTGGCAGAGTGCCTAAAACTATGTCCTTCAGTCCACAGGAAAGTATGTTTTAATTTATTTGATTTGTGGACATGTTAAGTTCCTACTGGTCTCATTGACATTCTTGCTAACGTTGAGAAAGGAGTGGGGCTTTTCATACAAATTACTCAGGTCTATCTGGGAAAAACATCCCAGGGTCGGTATTATTGCTAGAATTGGCAATTAAACCTGAAACTGTGCAAAACTGTCATTGCAGAACTACTCATTATGATATAGGATCCTTTACAAAGTGAAAGGCATGATTACAGAGTGGATAAAAAGAAACAGCTATACAGTTCTAAAAAGGTATGTGAGCTCCTTGCTCCCAGTCTACATCATTTTATACTGTTAAAGGACAAGCACAAAACAAGGCTTAAGTGCCCCACTTTGGATAAGGATGTCTTCTTTCACAGAGGGAGACAGCATTCACTGAGATATGCTCAAGTCCTATTTAAGAGATGAGGCCACAGCATGAGGGACAGACTGAGGCAGTTCTGTGTCTTAGACTGGAGGGGCTTTCCTAATGAGCAGGGGCATATAATGCCATTTAAAGATTTAAAAAAAAATAAAAATAAAATCCATCTCTACAGTGCTCCCTGCAAAGGATGGCATGCCACTGAAAAACAGTATTTTTCATAAAGCCAACTTGTAATCTATTTTATATCTGGCAGTATTTCAAGGCAGTATATTTTGTGTGCTTTACTGTTTTCCTTCACAACAAGTTTCAAAGAAACAAGGTTTGCAAGATAGCTAACAACATTCCTCAACAAAAGACGTTCTCCTTTCAAACTCTTCTTCTGCATCTGTTTTTAGAGCATTATACCTACAACAACATATTGCAGAGCATGCTGCTGAACAGTAAGAGTTCAAGAGTGGGTGTGAAAATCTAGCTTTTAGGACTAGTGGAACATGAGGTCAAAATGTAGATCCTTTTAAAAGCCCTAAGGGGGCTGGTCTGGAGGGAGGCATCTACCTGCAGAGCCGGACAGGCCTGCTGCAATGTTCTGGCTTCAGAATTTAATATATTTTCTTTTCTAAAATTTTATTAACGGCAGTCAAGTTTGAGGCACCAGTCCAATCTCTCTTTTTTTTTTTTTTAATCTAGATTACTCAATTTGTTTTGGATGGGATCTTATGAAACTCACAGCTTGCAATCCACAGATTTCAAAACTGCGGGTTTTGCTGCATCTGCACTCAAAAAGCCTAGCACCAGGGCCATTTGTAATTTCTGTAAATGTGGCCGTGCTTCCACAACATATGAAACCAACCTAAGGCATGCTGTGTACTGCTGATCATGCTATGATGGCTCACGCGTGTTGCTGAGGAGATGCACAAAAAAAGCAGCATGTCTAATCTCATTTTGTAAGTCAAGGAGGTAGATGGGAGCAACAAGGGATTTGGGAGACAAGGGGGAGACTGGAAGGAGAAAGGAAGAATGGAGAGAAGCGAGTTGCTCTGGCATACAAAAGTAGGTATTGGGTGAGTTTGAAGATAGCAGGGCTCAAGAAATGCATTGGGAAAAAGATGGGAGGACCTGAACTCTGAGACAAAAAAGGACCCTACTCAGGAGGTCAGGAAGGGGAAACTGCCGCATGGTTTGAGTGAGCAATACTCCCACAGATACCTGGCAGGTTAGCGGCCACACTCTTCTAACCATCCAGTTTACGGATGTCAGAAACACATCCTCGGCCTCGGGGGCGGCTCGGCGCGGGCCTGCCCGCGCTCGCTGCTGCGCCGCTGCAGGCCGCTCCCTCACACCCGTTCTTGCACAGCTCCTTATTCCGAATCCGAACAGGCGCCACCGTTTAGCTGAAACTCGCTTCCCCTAAAAAGCCTAATTTCCTTTTACTGAATGCATTTTTAAAGTAATTTTTAAAAGGTGATAGATTTTTCAACTTAACATTATATCGTCACATTCTTATTTAAAGAGTTATAAAAGCTATAAAGCATACCCTGCTCTGGTATGAATATTTAATAGTAATGAACTACAAAAATGGACCGAACTCTTTAAATGGATCTCCTGAACAGAATCAACATGTAAGATAATATTAGATTTGATGTTCCACCTAATGAGCTATCACTTGGACATAAGGTAGTTAGCTAAAAGCTTGGTATACTTAGAATTGGTATCCTCTTACATTTTCCTAGCATATTTTACTATTATTATTATAGCTATAAAATAGCTATTATTATTAGCAAAATATAAGCCACTAGGCTGATAAGAAATACTTAGTCCTTTTGGAAGCACCTGGCTTGTGACTCCAGGGTCATTAGTGTATCACCGGTCAAGTAAGCACTATTAATATTAGAATCACCAATAAGCTAAAACTCCATCATAGTCTGAGACTAGGCATAAGTACAAAATGACTACTGTTTCTCAAAAAGAATTTATAATCTGGATAAAGCAACTGTCCATCCTTACTTGAAAGTAAACAAAACAGTTGTAAAGTCCATGTACATCACAGGCAAAGATGACTGCAGGCCCTATAGGAAGTGTAGGATGTAGTCTACTTTGCAAAGTACAAACATTTAAGGCCAATGCAATGTAAGCCAGTCCTATGCAATGGGGTAACTGTGATCGGGATGGCTGCAGTTGGAGAACACTAGAGTGGAGAAAACTAGTTTACAAAGGAAAAACATGTATTCGGAATAAATGACAGAAAGTAAGATACAGACCAAGCAGTTTATAGCTCTTTTCTGTTGTTAGTTTTGTGTTACTTTTTGCTCAGAGGAAACAAGTGTTGTAATTTTTTTCGACTCTGAACTTCGTACAATATATAAGGAGCCCTCTTAGTTCTGCCTGCCTAAAACAGCACAATTTCCAACCTGGAGACGCAACGTGTTGCTAGCTATTCTGCAATACGTGGGAACAGGGCTTATTTCTTAGCCCGACGCTTAATTCTTAGCTTGTGGGAAAATGCCCTGCCTTGACGATATGTACACAGGATATCCATTGCATCCAAGTGTGTCTTACCCTACAGAGGGCTTTGTACCCCCATCATCTCAGCTGGGACAACACATATTGTACTTCAAAGCTGTATTAACAGGCAATTTTCTAGTATTCCAAAAGGCTTTTCTAAATTCAAGAATGACTCATTTTATTCTCATAACAGAGTGAGATCTGCCATCTTCATATTGCTTCAGAAGGTGGAGATTTTTACAATTAATGAAATAAAACACTAAAGAAGCAAAATCAATGGGAGCACTGATTGCACTGAATACGTTCTGGTACAATATCTTCATTTTTTCCATTCTTCTACAGTGGGTGAATATGTATCATAATAGTATTTTAGATCTTTAATATCTGTTCCTACCAAAAAAAAAAAAAAAAGGTTTGAATGAAGTTTTGATATATTTGAGTATATCCGTAATTTAAGGGAAAAGGTGGAAAAATACTTCTAATTACCTCCAAAACAGGTTTGATGGCTCTGTGAAAGCTGAAATAAAAGAAACTCAGGCACACTGCAATGTGAAAAGAAATCACTCTAATCTACAACCTTAACAGTATTTTTTAGTGTTATCTAATAATAATCAAAAAAATATCATCAGATTAGGTGTTGAATATTTGAATTAAATAATATTAGAACAAGATGCCTTTTTCAAAAAAAAAGCTCAATAGGAAAATGTTTGCAAACAAAGAGATTCTTTTTGCTGAAGATACAGCATGAGCCATCCATGAAAGAGGCAATGCTGAAATAAACAGTTTGCTGTAACCTGTTCACTGCTTCCATCTAATTTAATATAATGAAAAGCTCTAAATGACAAAACTCCTTTCTACAACTAAAGTGGTTAGCATTTCATTCAGACCATCTGGAAAAAAAATGCAGATAATTGGTGCATTGATCTATTAAACAGCACAAACTGATGCTGGTGCAACCAGTGCCTTGCATGTGCTCACCTCTCTCACACACTGTTCAAAGACCACATGCAAAAAGATATTCCAAGAAAACCTATAAAATGCTAAATTCAAAACACTGCACAAAAAACAAAAGGGGGGGGGAAAGATCCCATGAGTCCACTGGTACTTCAATAAAATTTGTTTTATTATTGAGACTAAGACTGGGTGGAGACTAAGACTTGGTTGCAAGTTTTTGACCTCAGTGACTTTGGGAGACAGGTATCTAGTGAACTTTTCTGCATCTAATTGGCATCATTACTCGAAATAACTCTGGGGACATTCCCTATGGCTGCTCAGAACAAACCACCTGGGACCCCCAAGGTGACTGCGCTGTCCTTGCCCCCTTGTGTGGGCTGTTGAATGACAGAAGATTATTTCATAAAGCAGCAATGCACGGCACAAATCTTTAATTTCACTACCTATATTGAAAGTGCCTTCATCCCTCCAGCTTTTTTTCCAAGTAAATCAGTTACAAAGGAGAATCATTGGAAATTAAATCCAGATGCTACTTCAGATGCTACCACAAAAAAAGACCTCCTATTAAATTTAAGGTTGTGATAACCTATTTATTTCACTGTGGTCAATGAAGCCTTTAGAAAATTAAAAAATATCCACAGAAATAAAACACCAGTCAGTATGGAATGTGTGACAGATCTAGAGTAACCTGGTTCTGTGGACCTGATTTCACTTCCATGGGGATATGTCAGGGTGACAGCAAAGCCATTCAGCAACCAAAGGTCAAGTGAGAACAAATTTCTGTTATGTCTCTGCTTTGTTTATAGATGAGCTGCTGAAAGAAACACCTTTCCCACTCAATCCCACTTCTGTTATGGAGCCCTTTTCCTTTCAAAGCTGGTTAAATGGTCATCGTGGAGAAATAAAGGAGAAGCAATCCTTAAGTGTGTTTGAAGACACCTTTGAAACAGAGGTAGGAGCATTTAGTTTCTCTGAGAGCAAGTTTTTTAACAGTGCAGAGGTCAGGTGCTTTATGCATAGAATGACTGACTCCAGGCCTAAAACAACCGTTTTAGGTCATCCACAGATAAAATTATTGTCCCTATGCATCCTATAGAAAACTGTATCTCCCTGCAAATTCAGCCATTGCCTAGCCTGACTTTCAGGAGTGCTGGTCTCCAGCCACTGTTATATATTAGACCACATTAGGACAAGGAGACTCCTATATTGGATACTTATGTTTAAAGAATCAGTTTGAACCTTATTTTGGTTTATTTTCTTTTGGATTTAAATAAGGCATCTTTGCTCCCCCTTTCTGTACTTCCTGAATTAGAAATACTTGTAATATTTACATCATGCTGGTATGTTTGACTTCCTTCATGTCTGAGCAGCATTCCTGGTGCCAAATCCAATTTGGACGTGTAAACATACAGCAGTTTCTGTTAAACTACAAAAAAAAAGGGGGGGGGGGGGGGAACACAAGGAATAACGTTAGAGCACTGCACTTCTCAGTCCAGCCAAGCACTGTCTAGTTCTAGTGTAAGGAAAGTTGTCACCTTCTGATGTCTGTTCTGGCTGCAGAACAGTTTACAGAACATAACCTTTCCTTGCATTGCTTAGTTGCACTCTGAGCAATCCAATGCATTTGACAGCAAAATGAGACAGTCTGGGCTTGAAGTCAGGAGGATCAGTGCAGAAAGGGCAGATGATAATGGAAAAAAGTGGGTCTGATCTGCAGCTTTTCTAATGTTAATGGAAGCATCTTTCTGACTTGAGGAGGCTCTTGACAGGACCCGGGGTTCATGAGGAGGAAGTGGCTGTTCCAGGAACAGAGGCGGGCGACGAGGATGTAGATGCGAGGCTGGGAGTGGGAGGAGGCAGAAGGATAAGAAGGATAAGAAGATAAGCGAGGATGCAGAGGAGCATAAGGAGTGGCAGGTGTGATCTGCTCCCTTTTTATCAGCGGGAATCAATAAGAGACTAGCAAACATAATGTGAATGTTAACGTCTGTAAAAATAAAGTCATATTCTATGAACATTTCTCTCTAATAATAGAATGTTTCAGATGCTGTAGGAAGATGAACATGTATACTTCAGTTACTGGGATGAATCCACTGCTTTCTTTTTCTCTCTTCCTTACAGGTTATAGTTTATGGACCAGGAATAACTGAAAACAGCAAAAAGAATTCGGATATCTGGATATGGCAGCTGGTATGTGACCATTCACACCTGTTAACCATGACAGTCAGAGCAGACAGAACAGTAGTAAAGCTTCCTAGCACAGCCAACAAAACCTAAAACGATTAACTTCCTTCTCACAAACACCATCTTTCATCAGCAAAATATTGCTAGAAATAGCCATAAGCTATTGCTGTTGTGAAAATAGCCCTTCTTCAGCCACCTTGTATGTTCAAAACAGCTGCTTCCATCCTCCATCAGGTCTTGATGAGAGTTTTGATTCCTACTAGCATATATCTTTCAAAAACAAAATGCCTGTGAGTGATAGACACTGTTGCCTATTGCATCTTCCTTGAAGCATTTGCCCTCGTACTGCAGTTCTGCTGGCAATGTGTATGCTGTATGCTAAGCTAATAAAACTCTAACTGAGGGCTTGTTTATATGAAAGCACAGCAATAGGTGATCCAGATGTCCTCCATTCAAATACTTTGTAGGAAGCAAATCTGCAGCGTGAGGGAAAACAGAGGAAAGCTAGTTTCCAGTTACACAAGCCAGGCTAGCTTAAGCCTGATATTTCTACCAGTTCCTGTTCTTTTCAGATTCACAGGGACTATCAAATGCTAATTAATGGCAGAGTAATTTTGAAGGACACTTGTTTAAGCTACAGTTTACAGCAGCCTCAACCAAGACCTTGTTCTTGCGGGCAAGAACCTGGCTCCACTGCTTGTCAGTCCATTGCAGTGCACATGGACTCCTATTAGAAATTTCTACCAGCTCCTTGCTGACTCGTGGACTGATTTTAAAGATTTAGAAAGGTTAGAAATCAGAAAAAGTAGACAAGGAACTTGAAATACTCCAGCAGGTTAGCCCCCGGAGGTGACTTCCAGACAGGCACACCAATCTGCAAGCAGCCAGGTTAGATGGTAGCAGTGTATCCCCAAGGAGCCAGGCAATGGGTTGCTGCTTTATCATGGGGAACAATGAGCCATGAAGCATGTTTTTACTGATGCTGATATTGCCAGACAGGGAATACCTTGCTGAAGTTTCTGCTAGAGAACAGGTTTGAAGCACTCTTCTAGTGGGAAAGAATTCCACGCTTAATAGCGGTACTGTCACCGGTGACAGCACATGGGAAATTAAAAGCCGACTCTCTGTTCTTTCTCTCCAGGAGGGCACATCTGCTGTTACCAAGGGTGGCAAAACCCTGACTCTGGCTGCTGGAGACAGCCTGCTCGTCCGTGCCCAGTCTGCGTGAGTAGAGACGAGCAGTGGTTCAATGCATGACTTCCCAGTTCCTGACCTCCTAAATTCTGCGTGCTCAGTCCACACCAGAACGGGCAGCAACTGGTGCAGAAACACACACGCTCTGATAATGCAGGATTTGCAATACGCTGCATTATTCCTCAAGGCAGAAATGTGGTGAGGAGGAAATAAAGCCAGGCATTCATGCCAACTCACCTTTTACAATAAAGCTGGAAAAAGTAACAAATACAAAATTTAAAGCTACCGTGAAAAAAGCAGAATACAAAAGGCCCTGCATGAAGGTAGATGGGGATAATAATCCAATCAGCAATCACAGAATATCCTCTAAGTTTGCTACTGTGAGTTAATCAACAAATACAGCAGGCATTTGAGTACTAGACCAAGCCCACAATTCTCTGCCTGCAGTAGGATGCATAGGGCTGTTTCATAATCACAACACACAAAATATATGTGAGAGAAAAACTGGTAAAAATATCTTCGAAACAGAATGTAATGGGAAAGTATTTGCCAACTCTTGTAAAAAGCAGCACAGGCTGATAAAATACCCACCACAAAAAGAGAGGTAAGATGATATATACTCTCTGGTATTGCAAAGCAGCAGATTGTAAGCAGGTGAGAGAAATGAACGTCTTTCCTGCAGGAAATCACCAGTCTCGTAAGCAGTAATTTTGATATTTGCACCTTCTGTATATCTTACAGCACAAAAAAAAAAAAAAAAAAAAAAATTGGAGGAGATGAAACTGTACCCAGAACTGTTCTCTGTAGCTGTGACTCCAACATGCAGCCACCTCCTCCCTCCACTGTTATCTCCCACCACTTCTGCAAAATTGCTTGTCTTTCATTCTCCGTTCTGCCATTCAACCAGAGAAACTCTGTTTCCAAAATCATGATATGAGCCATGTGCATCAGAAGACTGTACTCAGACCTTTGATTATAAGATCCATACAGCAGGCACACTCTTATAGTACGTGTCACTGTAGTAGCTTGGTACTGATCTCTGGCCACCACTGCAATGGGCATAAAGACAGCCAATACAAGATGATAACCACTAGACAAAAATACTCTTCAGTACTGAAACATTCACATCACTAAAGCAATATCTGTAGTCACTGAGATGATTTTGAGCTCCTTCTGTGGCCAAGATAAGGATATAAGCCTTTCCCCTGAGTTCACTCATAGGTAAAGGTATGTTCTTCCCCAGTGCTTCATATTTGAAATATATTAGCGATGGTAGAGAATACTTTTATTCCCTTTCCATATGGTTATATTTTGTGAGACTTCGGAAAATTAGTCGGAAAGAACTGCATTGTATTCTACTGCATTTCCAACAGCATAGATATTTTTTAGTGGTTTTGTGAGGTTTTGTTGTTGTTGTTGTTTTCAAATACACACTGAATCATCTGTCTTTTCATTTTTCCAGGTACTACTGGAAGAGAGCAGAAGGATGTGTGGCTCTTTACATTGCTCAGGACCCAAGGCGCAAGCAACCTTATCCCTAGGCTGTTGTGCCAGATGCACTTAGTGATAGAAGAGTTATAAGCTACTTGGTTCATCTTAATGATCAGTCAGACTGCGCAGGATTTGAACAATCTAACAAAACAATTACACTAGAATTACGTGGAATTGTGCTCAGCCCAGTTAAAACATTAAAAAATTTAATGTGAGCTTCAACAAAACATACCACTATTTTGATGAAGCAAAATAATTATCCAATTTTGTTATCCAAAAACAAATGAACAATGGGTCCAAGTAACAAGAGTTATACACCTGCTTACAGGCAAATACACATGACCCTATATAGAATAGATTAAAAGATCTTTCAAATGCAAGCCTGTGCTGCAAGATGAAGAAAAGGAGATGGGAGTAATATTATTTCCCTAGATTATAATTTAGTTACATCACAGAATTTAAAGAACCCTGTATTCTAGTCACATTGCATCCCTGGTGCCTTCTGTAGCTTGGTCTTAACTTCTTTGTCTTAGTTTTGTCATATATAATAAATTGGGCATAACATTAATGATTTAGTGCATGGCTGGTGGGCTTGTCCACCAGCAATTAAAAAAGGAAAAGAAAAAAAGAAAAGCAGAAAAAAAAAAAAGCCAGCAGTGAGCATAAATAGGAACAACTCTGCACTACTGTATCTACTCGAGGTGACTTGGTACCAGCTAACCAAACCTGGCCATGCAAAGTCATTGACAGTCACCAGTGCCGTGGCACCCTCAGCATGCTAAACGCCCTCGGTGTGGCACACTATCCCAGCCTAAGGTATTACAGCTGTAACACAAGCATTCTGCTCGTGGTTTTCCAGCTGCAGAAATTTCATTTTAAAGTAGTCTAAAAAGCCTATTGTGAGCTAAGAAGGGGCAAGGGGAAAAGAAAGAATTTTTAGTAACTGTTGCTTCTTTTTGAAAGAGCAGATGAGATTTCTTCATTGCACTTTAATGTGTGAATGTAAGTGCAGAGTGCATAATTAGCTTTTCCTGCTTTTCTTCCAGGAATTCTCCATTTTTTTTTTTATGTATTATCCTTTATAGGTTTTTACCACTGTATTATGAGTTGCTTAAGTATTTCCAAGTGTTACCAATTACATGTTTAAGGAAGCAAGTTACCCATACTTGATTTCATGTAATTTTAATGTAAATTTTATATATATACTTCAGTCTAATATTCATAATACTGTTCATATACAGTATATATATACTTCATTTAAAATTAGACAAAGAAGTCTAAGTGTTTTATTCCAGTTTTCATTCTTCTGCTGAGAATGACTCGGATGGGGTGGCTTTAATCCACACCTTATGTGCAGGCTGAATGGGGAGGCTCCCCCAGCAAAACACAGGGCAGCTCTTCACCCCCTAATGACAGGGCACCTAATTTGAAAAACTGAGCCCAGTCCTTAGGGAAGTAGCTCACTTGAGCAGAACCTGTGTTTTAGATTCTTAAGCTATATTTGTGGTGGGTGTGCCTTTTTCTAAGGTCTCCTGTTTAAATACCTGAATTCTACCCAACTCCAGCTCTAGGTGCCTAGAAGCAAACTGGACCTAAAGCCTTGAGCGAGACCACAGCTCAGCAGACAGTGGATTGTCTTTCCTTGAGGAGTCTTTTCCTTCCTCCTCCCCATCCTCCCTACTTGATACCTTCCAAAGCCACCTGAAAATATCCACCCTGGACCGAGAAACCAGTTCCAAACATCAGCAAGACACACTATATATATTTCTAAGCTCAGAGAGCCATCGTCAGACTTGATCCCACATTTCCTTTCAGCTGTCTCCAGGATCTCCACTCCTGAGAAGTGGGAAGATCTTTTCAGGTGCTTTATATCTCCTCTATATTATATTATGAAGCTCCAAACATGGGACAGTAATTTAGGTGACTAAAAAGCCTCACTCCTCTGCCTATGAGGAACTGGCTGGATACAAGCGGGCTCCCTGGATTTCCGAACCACTGTGAGGTGCTGTTCACAGTGCACATGTAGTCAGGTGAAGCCTGCTTTGGCACTAGATCTGTGGGATTACAGCCTAGCATTCCAACAGAAATCTCATCTCAGAAGGATTTTAAGCATCGCTCAACAGCAAAGACTGAGTTGGGCCCTAATGTACTCCCAATGCATGCGTGAAAGGTGCTTCACGCATGCATGTCCATGACAACACCAACATAAAATCAAGCCACATCATATCCATGCAAGAAACTGCTCTTCCACACAGCTTTTTCCACTTTCTTCCACTTTTTTTTCCAGATGAATTATACAGATATGATTCAGATATGATATGATACAAATATTTCACACTCAAACTCATCTTTGTTATTGCCTTTTAGCAGGATTGTGCTGCCCTCACTACTACCATCTTGCACAGACAGTCCATTCATTTGCCTCACCTTCCCAAAGACCTCCAGCAAAGTATTTCTCCCTCATATATATATAAATATATATAAAATACACATATATAAAACTCCTAAGTAAGTGTCCCATGTTTTACGAAAATTAGCTGCAGGCAAAACACTTCTGTGGTTCTCAGTAAACTATAAGAGGGAAACAGTGATCCATACAGAACGTATAGTAAAAAGATTAAAGACTAAAGATTTTTGTTTTGAAAATGGATAATCATCAAAACCACACAAAATCCACACAAGAATATAGTCTAATACTGACTACATTTCATGTTGCCACGTGTAAATTGACAGCTTGCAAAAATCAAGGCAGACGCTTGTCTTCCTCCCTGCTTACTTATTTTTTATTTCTCACTTGTTTCTTTGAAGTAACAATCCCTACAAAGGGCAGAAAAACAGACTGGATGGATCAGTTAACTGGATGTGTTGCAGTAAACTCTTTCCTCAACCTCTCACAAGCGCCCATTTTACAAGTCACACCTGTAAAGCAAGTGATATCACTCCTGTTGTGTGACAATAGTAAATATGTTCAGGCTATTGTTAAGTGCTCGTCGTACTTTAATTTCAGTTCTCCAGCCATATTTATTAGATAGAACAGATGAACAGACAGCATCCCTCCCACCATCATTGCATATAAGTAAAGGGGAAAAGAATTAAATAAGCTTTTTAACAGATCTCTAGAAAAACAGCTTGTGTTCATGATACAGACATTTTATTTTTTCTGTTTAATAATCCAGAATGCATTTGAAGCAAAACTTAAAGCTGATGAAGGTCAATCTCATGTTCTCCCAATTGAAGATACAAATAGTTATAAAGGATTCTTCAACAGCAAAGGATGTAGAATAGCTGATTGGACCCAAAATAAAATGACTGCTTTTAAATTAAAAATTAATAAGATGGAGTTAATGTACATTAATAATTATATTGCAATTCAGAGTCAATACCCAACCTCCGGATAGCAAAACAATCTAGCTCAGAGATTCCTTGATTATCACTGTCTGGATCCAATATAAGAAACCGTAGAAGTCAATAAGAAGTCTCCAAATTACTGGGCTTCTCATTGCAGCTTGCCAGCTGGAAGGGGCTGGAAGAAAGGAGAGAGGAAAATGGGATGGTTCAGTGTTCTGCACATTTGCAAAAACAAACCAGAAATGGCTTTTTCTTTAGGCAAATCAAGCCCAAATACATACATCAGGTCCCCTCTCTGCAGAGGGCTCTCCCATTTTGGGTCTGTGATCTTTAGACTATTTTCTGAGTTGTTGTTGCTCTAGATTAAAAACACCACAAAAGGCCATGTAAATTCCCTAAAAGTTGCACTGCAACCACAAAAAGGAAGACCTGCATACTTTGTATTTTTAACACTCAGTAGGTGCACATACATGCACCGTATACACAGAAATTCACACACGTCTCTCTAACTTGCACGATAAGTTACCCTGAAGTTGGGGCAAAATTATCTGAGTTCTACCAACACTACATTATATTGCCTTAGAAGCACTGATAAAAATCTCATAGCAACACAGCCACATACTAAACACAAGCATTTTTGGCACTTTAGTGAGGAAACTGGATACATCTTCATTATGTCAGAGAAAAATAAGACCTCTTCAGTGCTGTATAGGCACAGCAAAACAGTAATTTAAAGAGGTTTTCGTTTTCTTTCCTGAAGAAAACAAGTTTTACTGAAGAGGCAGAACTAAAGCAGGTAGGTGATGAAGCTTCTATCTCACTCATTGCAGATGCAAACTCTTGCACAATAAGCTGCCCCTCTTCATGCTTTACAGTTGGGGAATATCTTTGACAATGCAAGTATGCAAAGCAATGTGCTGATGTATAATGCTAACACCTGGAAATTTCACTGTACAACTTCTAAAGACTACTGAGTTTTGGTCCCGAAATGCTTCCTACCTAACCCATTGGCATCTCTCCCTTCCTTGAGGAATGGTTCAAAACCGTCTGGGTGCAGTGCCTGGACTCCACGCGGAAGGGAGATCTGGGCAACCGCAGCCGGGCTCCACAGCTCCTCTGCTGTGCAAAGAGCTGCACACACAGCGTCACACAGAATCACAGAAGGGCTGAGGTTGGAAGGGACCTCTAGAGATCATCTAGTCCAACCTCCTACTCCAGCAGGGACACGGAGAGCACGGGGCACAGGGCAGCATCCAGGCAGGTTTGGAAGACCGCCAGAGGAGGAGACTCCACAGCCTCCCCGGGCAGCCTGTTCCACACATGACACAGCTCTCTGCACTCTGTGCTCAGGGCGCTGCAGCCACCTCCAATGACCAAGGACCCACAGGGCCCTGTAGTCTGCAGGATCTGCACCAAGCTTATTCCCCTGTGTAAACAACCACAGCCAGAGATCCATCACCTCCTTTTACACAGTAGCCTAAGGAGAGGAGCAGCCTCCTCTGCACAAGATTTGTGATTCAGATCCTCATTTACCCTCTCCCATGGGAATGCTGCCGTCAGGGGCGCTCCACACCTCCTCTTGCTACAGCGCTGAAGTACTGCAGGGAGATTAACCCAGACGTGCAGGAAACCAGCCGTGTTGCTTGTGAACACGGTATGGAGATAGAGGACAGCACCTATGCCCTACAGGGTTGAACAGAAAACATCATTTTATAAAATAAAAGCAAGTTCTGACAGATTGCACATATCCTTCCAAAGCCACTGGTCCAGAGAACCTAATCACATCTGTACATCTGAGTCACCTGCAGTGTCTTGGGATACACTCTAAAGTGAGGCTGAGAAATAGTTTGACCCAGGAAAAATAATCCGAAGATTGGAGCATCATGAATAGATTAAGACGGTTATGACGATCTGAGAAGAGTGTTAACAGTTACTGGCTGCTTCTTAATGCTGGTGAACAAAAAAATCAAAAACAAAAAAATCAGTGGTTCAAAATATATAAGCTTTATTGCTGAGCAGCAAATAAGCATCTAAGGGTTTTCACCAGATTATTCCCTTTCTGAAGATAATAGCACCAAATTATAAACACTGAATAGAACTGAGTAGCTTCAAAAAAAAAATGTATCTGGCTTTGATATGACGCAATCCAAATTTTGATATGACATTGAAAAGAGGAAGCACATGCATGTAGCATCCATATAAAACCCATAAGAGTTCATGTCAGGACCACCAACTCAGCCCCTGCCCACAGAGGCAGGAAGAGGAAAAAGAGAGAGAACTTGCTAGCAGCTAATGAGACACTTGCAGGAGACAAATCCAGCAGGGATTTTAATTGTCAGCTGTAGCCTAGAGCCCACCGACTAACAGCTGCAAACCTGTGGTGTGACACAAGCAAGTCACTTAAGTCATGATGATAGCGATGATAATTGAAAACATTGGAAGGAAAAAACAAAAAACAAAAGCATCAAGCAGTGGCTGATCCAAAGGTCTTTAGTGTAATGGGCAGACACGGGATAAAAAGCAAGAGAACTAGAGGAAGAATTAGCT